GTTAAGCTTTCCAGTGACATCTTTTATAATGCAGAGCATGTGTAACTTCAGAAACTATTAAAGCTTAAAATTCCACTAAGACTTCTGGGACACACACACTGTATGTATATTTCACATACATGCTTTTATTCTTTTTCTCATTATTCTGATAGAGCTATTGCCACCTTTCTAGCTGGAGTGGAGAGGGCTCAGGGGGAAGTAAGCAAATAATGATTAATCTGCTAGTGATGGCATCACTAAGTGTCTTCAAGTGTAGAGGAGCTTTTTATGTGGTACACAGATCTACTTTGTCTCTGAGGTTTGAGCAGAAAGAGTAGAATAGATAGACTTGTATCAGAAGTGAAGAAAATAAGAGCAAGGTTTGGCCTAGATTCTCTAGATCTTCAACAGTCTCAAGAGGGGACCCCAATCTGACGCATCCGGGACCTACTCTCACAGACCAAAGTGTCTCTGATCTGGATGAGCAACGGGAGGACTCAGGGAAAAGACTGGCAAGGAAGAGCATCTTAAGAACTTCAAGGAGCTGCTCAGGTGACTGAGTCCCACACGTTGGGTCAAACCTCTCTCCTGATACCATGGTGAGAGCAGAATGTACTAATCCTTTGCTGCACTGCCTCCTAATTTTCAAGTTTTTAACATGCAGGGGCTATGCCCACAGACTCCATTTTTGCTCTGTTACCAGTGTGGTTTTTTTGGCTAATACAAGGTTGGCACCCAGTGCAGTCTTTCTGTTGGGTGCCATTTCCTCATCATAATTTTGCTTTTTAATGTCAGTTGTGTGCATCTCTCCCCTTGAGCTACATCATCATAACCCTTACATTATTTGCATTCCCAAACTGGTACCCCAGAGAGCATCTTTATCAGGAACCTTACGTTCTGTTAGTGTAATGACAATGTGCAGGTAAGAACACATTGTGATTAGGAGTCCAGGTTGTAGACATAAAAATTTAATATTTGAATTTATTTTCCATTAATAGAAACACTACCATTTGTGCCTGATATATGCTGGTAATTAATGACTCCATTTACAAGTGGAGACAAAAAAATGGAACTGGTTATATGTCTGAGGCCAGGGATGAGAACATTGGGTGTCAAGATGAAACACTGAAGTGCTTGAACACATTTTTTACCATGAGAAATACTTTGCAGGACTGAAGAGCATGAACTGTTTTCTTACCTCTGGATGATGAGCCCTTCTGGGTAGGCAGTTACGTTCCAAGTTGCAGTGACATTTCCAAGAATTCACTTTTCTCTCTTCGCCAATAAGTTTCTCTCCCTCATTAGTCTACTGTTCAAAGACGACAGCTTCCAGAAAAGAATTAATATTTACTGAGCATCTCCAACAGTCTGGCACTGTGCTAAGCACCTTTATGAATGGAATCAAATTTAACCTTAAATATTATTCATTTCCTAGTTGAAAATATAGAAACTCAGGACATTTACTTAAAGTCAGGCAATTAATATGTGACAATTCAAAATTCAAATCAAGGTCTATTTTATCCCAAAGACAACGAGGTTTGCTCTTTGGAAGCTTTATAAAGGAGAAGGATCTGGAACTGTCTTGATGAGAAATTTAAAAATTGATACATTCCTCTTTTCTGCCTCATCTTATAAATCATGGTGCCTGTTTGACACTTTCCTGGAAATGTGTCTATTTTTCTTGAGTCACCCATAAACCTCAGTAAAAGTGTATGTTCAAAGTGAGGGGAAATATGGATTGGGTGTGGCTGCTAATCTAAATAGTTTTGGAGAAAGACACTCTGTGGTCAAATTTAGGATGCATAATTGATTTGCAGAATAGGGGTTCTGTTAGCATTGTTTGTTATTTTTTCCAGATTTGTTTTTCATGCTCCTGCCCATAGTGGCTCCTTTTGTTAGTGAAAGATCAGTGGTCAGAGTGGACCCCAAGAAAGACCATCACAGGCCACAGCACTGACTCTTCTGAAACGGCCCTCCTGAAAGAAAGCTCATCCTCCCTTTGGTTCTGGGGCCACTTGGACCCAGAGGGGAAATACTTATTTATTTAAGCAAATCAACCGCCTAAGTGCCAAGCAAGGCTTCGACACATTTCCAGTCTACCATATTCACCCGTCTCCAGTTCACCAGCCTTGGAGAATGTCAACACTGGGTGCTGTTTCTCGTAGAAGGGCTCTCTGCGCCCTCTGGAAGCACAGTGCAGAGCACCAGCAGCTTCTATTACACTGTTTGGTTCCACTAACAACCCCACAAGGCATGCTTGACACCAACCAGTGTTCTCACTTTAAAGATGAACAGGACAAAGGACTCATTCTAAAGCGATTAGTTAGTGTTTGCCCAAGAAGAGACCCTCAGTCCATTTCTTTCCTACTCTTGAACTAATGTTAAAATCCATATGGGAAACATATTTGACTAGAAGAGATTTTTTTTTTCAAGTTCTTGAGATTCTACGGATCACTCAGAGATTGTACATAGTTCAGTCAGCTGGATACTTGGATGAGTTTTTATGTAATTGTTTCAGTGTGTCTAAGAGGGCTTAGCTGTTCAAAGTATGAAACATCTTGAATTCACCCTGTTTTCCATTAGCGTTTCATTCTCCATTACCTTCATGTCATAAGTCAGCCTGCTGTGGTCTGGAGGGACAGTCTTGCGAGAATAGCACCTTGAATAATGTATTTTAAATTATGGCTTCCACAGCTTTACAAAAACAAAACATTCAATTCACACTCCCTCCAAACCAACAGCTATGGGGGGCAGGGTGGAACCCAATAGATAAAATAATAAATGATCTACTGGGGATGACATCCATACCAGACAGGAATATTTGACTGAGCAATTTAATTCATTTGCTTTTCTTTTTAAAATTTTTTAATTTAATTTAAATTTGTATTCATGATGGTGCTAGTGACATTTCAGATCATTAAAATGGGGTAGATATTGTAACTTATAATTTGTGAGGGTCTTATGTTAATTCAGAACATTTTATGAGAAGGAAAATAGCATATTTTGAAATGATTTATTATAGATACGTACCATTTCTGTAGTTGTTAAGCGTAGAACCATGGCATAACCTAGAACAGGAAAGAATACTCAGGACACTGGATTTTCGGTTAACATGTTACTTAACCAGTTTATTTTTATTTTTTCACTATTTTCCATTGTATATATAAATTTTTCCAGTGATAAGAGCAACATGTGCCCATCATAGAAAATTCAGGAAATAGGGAAATGAGGGCTGGCTGTTTCTCCTCGTGTTGATTGAAATGTTGGCAGTGAAGGGCAGAGAATCTGGCATTATACGGCTTGCCAAAAACAAGTGTATACACACACCTTACCTTCTGCAACACTCAGAACATCTCAGTACTCAGATTAAATGACATTTCCTTTAATCTAAAACACAACAATTTAAGTTTGAGATTCTAAGATATTTTTTTCCAAAGACAAGAACCAATTCATGGTACTGCCAATCTGTTTAAAACCTGCTAGCTACTGAGCCCTCATTCTGGCCATAACATTCATATTGCATAAATGACTGATGCTTAACTTACAAACAGGGGGAGACCATATCGAGGATCTGTGTGTGTGTGTGTGTGTGTGTGTGTGTGTGTGTTTATAATTAGATGGAGCATATTCAGAACTTTTACTATCTTATCATATGATTTGATGTATTACCTTAAATCAGCTTGGAAAGAAGTATTTTTGGCTTTTAGAGAGATGCAGAAAATATACTGAGGATGCATTTGGGGGCATAGCTCACTAACGATGGAGAAATACATGAAAGGTAACTTCTGGAATTTTGGTTAAACCTTTTCTAGAACACAGTCACAGCATTTGTTCAACAAATATTTATTGAGTGTCTGTTGTATGCCTAGCACTGGAGAGACTGAGATGAATCAGATAAAATCCCATGTTCTCCGGAAGTTCACAGTCTAGGAGCCGTCAAAGTGGCTATATCAACAAATAGTGACAGAAGAGTGGGATCCTGGCTTCTGTGAGGATATACAGTGTTTATCCTGAAAATGTGTCCATTTTTCTTGGGTCACCCATAAACCTCAGTAAAGAGGTTTGATGAGTGAGGCCTAGAAAGGCCTCTGTGAAGTGACAACTTCTGGGTTCGAATTGGAGGCTGGAGGAGTTTACTTGTCCTCATAGAAGGCTCAGCTTTTGTAGGCAGGAGGGCAGTGGGCAGGAGGGCAGTGGGCAAAAAGGCCAGGCACACAGAAAAGTGTGGTGTGCTTGAGGGACACAGTGAATTTTGCATGCCAGGCTGAACTGGAACGCGTGGAAGGTATGGGATGGGACTGGGTAGCAATACAGTCCAGACTGGGGAAAAATCTGGTGGTCCGACAGGTAGAGGTGGGCTGTGTGGTATGGGCAAGAGAGAAAACTTGAAATTATTTTAAGCAGTAGGAGTGACAAGTTTAACTGGGTAGCTGATGGTGCTTGTATTTCAAGGAAACCATAAACCTGCTTCTGGGCTTATAAAATATTTCCTCCTTAAAGGTGCTCTTTTCCTTTAGGACTCATGGCCAGGTTCATAGTTTGGACGAGGTTTGAACATGGATTGGAAATATGTTTTAAAAAACAAAAAACTGGCCAAAGGCTTGTCATGAAGTAGGGACAGGGCAAACATGAAAAAGAAGTGGGTTGTTTTGTTTTTTCTGCATGCTCACTTACACTGAATTATCCCCTCTACAAAGATAGACTATGTAGTCAAAGCCCACAGCCGTTTGTGGCGTGCGAGGAAGGCACAACTGCCACACAGAAGAGGGTGTGGTTAGCTTGCCAGCAGAGGCCTTCCTGTCTATCCAATAAAAAGGAGCTGGCTTGGGGGTTTTGTTCCAAAATGTAGAGACCTTATTCCCTGTGACTGTGGCCTCTGTAGATACCTAGATTAAAGAGCAGGTGGGAAGGACTCTGGTTGTTGGCCTCGGTGATGAGAAGCACACCTCACATGTGCCACGCTGAGGGCAAAGGTGTGAAGGCTCTGCCTGGAGCGGTCCCGGTCTCCCCTCTTCCAACAGATAACACCGCAGGGGTGTATGCCCGGCGCGGGGGCTTCAGCCGGCAGAAGCAGGATTTGTACCTCCTGCCCATCGTGATCAGCGATGGTGGCATCCCGCCCATGAGCAGCACCAACGCCCTCACCATCAGGGTCTGCGGGTGCGACGTGAACGGGGCGCTGCTCTCCTGCAACGCGGAGGCCTACATTCTGAACGCCGGCCTGAGCACGGGGGCGCTCATCGCCATCCTGGCCTGCATCGTCATTCTCCTCGGTAAGGGATCGCCCGGCACCTGCGGGCCAGGCCTTACAGCCAGGTCCCAGCCCGGAAACAAAGATATTTCCAGAGCGCAGACTGGTACCCAGAACTATGTATACACTGCGTGTACAGTGTGTGAGGAAAGAGATGATTTGATGCAGTTTGGTGGTGGGGGGGGGTGTGGGGGGATCCCTGCTCTCCTGAATTTTATGGTAAGGTCGGGAGAGTGGGCAACTGAACGCATAGATCCAGCAGTCTGGGGAAGGTTTTGGTGAGTGAAGTGCTGAGAACCACAGATCCGCACAGAAGGAGCCACTGGGAGGGCTTCGCAAAGTGACGTTACACAAGATTCTGCAGAAGAGGAATTTAGGCAGAGACTTCGTTTATGAGCAGTGGTTGTCTTACAAGAGGAAGAAGAGTTAGAATAATCGTGAGGCCAAAGACAGCGTGTGGACTGAAGGAGCTTAGGGAGGTTGCCCTGGCTGAAGCTGGATCTCGACCCTTCTCTGATTGTCACTGTGATATCTGGGGGTAAGCCTCAGGGGATGGGGGCCCAGGGGAAGCTTTCCCTGCATACACAGGCTAAGTGAGGTGCCCCCTCTTCTGCACTTGTATCCCATTTGTGGTTACTCTGTAAAAACAACAATGTGCTGAGCTAATACCCTTTACTATTGCTGTGTCTCAGGAAGATTAGATCAGGTGCCCCAGAGTCTCAGAGCTAGTGAGGGACAAACATCAGGACTGAAATCCAAGGATGTCTAACACCACATTTATGTGTGTGCCTTGATGTTTGGCTCTCCATGGAATAAAGAAGAGAGGCTGGCTGCACGGGGAAGAGGCAGTGAGTTCTGTGCAACAGGTGGTTCCTGAGTATTATCTGGGCCTGGGACCCTGTGTTCAACCCTCAGGGATAAAGAGAAGAATTACACAAGATCTCTGTGCTTTTTAAGTTCATAGTTTATCAAGGGAAATACAATAAACTACAGAGGAACATGGTGAGTGCCATGATAAGGATGTGAACAAAAGGTAGTTTAGGGACGCAAGAGAACACCGTGCCCAACATTGCCTGGGAAGGTCAGGCACATCTCCCTGGAGAAGGTGACATACTTGCCAGATGCTGAAAGAGTTTTCTGGACGGTACAATGTTCTGGCATGGATGGATATTCCAAGCAAAGGGAGCAGAGTATGAAAGAGCTCTAGTCAAGTTCTAGTCAAGTGGGGAGGTGGGTGTGTACACCATGTGGTACGTGTTACGGTGATAGTGAAGAACAGGGCTGGGTGGATATGTGGGGCAGGTGACACCACCTGTTGTGCGGTGTCAGGATGAGTGCCAGGGAGACTTCCATGATGAGAGGCAAGTGTCAGCCAAGCACAGAAAGTGACAAGGGGTGGCCTGTGCAAAGGTGTTGTCAAGAACGAGGCACAGAGGCAGGACTGTGCTCGGGGAGCACGTGGAGCCACGTGCAGTCCAACGAACACCAGCCCTCACCCCCGCACCCAGAGCAGCTCTCGACCACATGCCGATTCAGCCACAGACATTTTCTTCAGTCTTGCTAAGTGTGTGGGAGAGAGCATTCTAATGGAACATTGTAGAAGTCTCTTGTAGGGAGGTGAGCATTCAGTAAAAAATCAAGCAGTCCCTGAGATTTCTGCTCTGCCCCCTCAACCTGAATTGCCTAAGCTTAGTGGGATCCCCTGTCTCAGGGAAAAGATGGGGTTGCTTTATCTGGAGTTTCAGCTGATGCTATTTTCCTAGAGCCAAGTAAATAGATTCGTCTCCTGAAGGTCTTTATAAACTTCCCCTCTTCTGCACAGTGGTCTGAAGAGACTCCAGCCAGGCTTATGATAAGATTTTCACTAAGGTAAGAGTAGGATCTATGCTGGCCCCCCACTCCCTGAACCTCTAGGCATCACCTCCTCTAGCAAATAGGACCTGAAGTCTGGGACCATCCTCCTTCATTAACTCTGGGGAGGCAGCTGTCTTCCTGTAAAAAAGAAACTGGCATAAGCCATTTTAAAGAGGCTGCAGGCCAACATATTTAGAATCTTCTGAGTTTTAGGAAGATGACTTCCAAATAGTGTCAGATTCATTTATAAAAAGCTAAAAATAGCTCCAACTCGCCAGTTTGTGTGGATATAATATCTTGCTGGCAGCATTCTGCACCCGGAGAGCCAGGTGGAGGGCACTTTTACACATCTTCTGGGATTCCAAGTAAAGCTCTCCTGTCGTAGACTGTTCCCAGTTTTGAAGCATGCGTACACCAGGCCTTATGGTAAGCAGGGTTCCCCCGGGGGCAAGAATAAAACAGGAATGCCAGGCTTCACCTAGGCTTACTTCCTTTTTCTTTCCCTGCAGTCATCGTAGTGTTGTTCGTGACCCTGAGAAGGCAAAAGAAAGAACCACTCATCGTCTTCGAGGAGGAAGATGTCCGCGAGAACATCATCACCTACGACGACGAAGGGGGTGGGGAGGAAGACACGGAGGCCTTTGACATCGCCACCCTTCAGAATCCTGACGGGATCAATGGATTTATCCCTCGAAAAGACATAAAACCCGAGTATCAGTACATGCCCAGACCTGGGCTCCGGCCAGCGCCCAATAGCGTGGATGTGGATGACTTCATCAACACGAGGATACAGGAGGCGGATAACGACCCCACCGCCCCTCCTTATGACTCCATTCAAATCTATGGTTACGAAGGCAGGGGCTCGGTGGCCGGGTCTCTGAGCTCCTTAGAGTCTGCCACCACAGACTCAGACTTGGACTATGACTACCTACAGAACTGGGGACCTCGTTTTAAGAAACTGGCAGACTTGTACGGTTCCAAAGACACTTTTGATGACGACTCTTAACAATAACGACACAAATTTGGCCTTAAGAACTGTGTCTGGCTTTCTGAAGAATCTAGAAGAAATGTAAACAGGTATTTTTTTAAATCAAGGGAAGGCTCATTTAAAACAAGCAAAGTTTTACAGAGAGGATACATTTAATAAAACTGCAAGGACATCAAAGTGGTAAATACTGTGAAGTACCTTTTCTCGCAAAAAGGCAAATATTGAAGTTGATTACCGACTTCGCTAGAGAAAAACCACTCGGCATACGAAATATTTAAGTGAAGGAGCTGTCCAATGGTAAACTCTGAAGGGAAATTGTTTCTGTGTTATGAACATCCAAGTCTTTCTTTCTTTTATTTTTTTTTTTATTTGTCAAAGAAGCTTCCACAAAATTAGAAAGGACAACAGTTCTGAGCTGTAATTTCGCCTTAAACTATGGACACTCTATATGTAGTGCATTTTTAAACTTGAAATATATAATATTCAGCCAGCTTAAACCCATACAATGTATGTACAATACAATGTACAATTACGTCTCTTGAGCATCAATCTTATTACTGCTGATTCTTGTAAATGTTTTTGCTTCTACTTTCATCTTGAACTAATATGTGCCAGATATAACTGTCTTGTTTCAGTGAGAGGCGCCCTATTTCTAAGTCATTTTTAATGTATCTATTTGTACAATTTTAAAGTTCTTATTTTAGTATACATACAAATATCAGTATTCTGACATGTAAAAACTGTTATGGCATCACACTTATATTTTATGAACATTGTACTGTTGCTTTAATATGAGCTTCAATATAAGAAGCAACCTTTGAAATAAAAAAAAGATTCTTTTTTAATTCTGGGTTTCATTCTTAATATTGAAAAAATTAAGTTTTTCTATTGACCCATTTATATTTCTAATTTAAGATAATTGTGATCTTTTAATAACCCTATTTATGATCTGTTGTAGTCTGCTGTTTTCATTGTTTATTTAAAATCAAATATGTTTTGCAAATGTTTTTCCAGACAAGATTCTGTAACATCATGTAAAGCTTTTTTGTACATTCTCCGTGTTAGCTTCCTGGCTTTGCTTCACATGCGTCTTCTGAAAAAGAAGGATGCTAAAGATCTAGGTCAGTCTATGATTCTGCAATACTTGTTATATAATATGCATTTATCTTGTATATCAGTAGTTCGATGGTTATGAGAGACAAATCCATGAGGGAACAAAATGATCAGAACTCTGATGTTCCAAGATGTAGATTTTATGCCCCATACCAAGCACTTGGGCATTGGCGAAGTGAAGAGTCAAAAATATAAATTTGCCAATGTGTAGTTATCAGACCTCCAATGTTACTCTCTTTTTCCCTGGTTTGAACTTGGCAGGCTGTCATAACAACTCTGATAGTTGAAACTGCTTATTTTGCCTCCTGTAATATTAATTCCTCTTAAAAGAATATAGCATTTCAAATTTTGATAAAAGAAAAAGCAATTCACTTTCAAACCTTTGCTATAAAGTATGCTTTGGGCCATAAGCCCAGAATGAGGGTAGGGATGGCAGCAGATTTTAGGGTCAATGCCATTCGACCCATGAGCATGCCTACAGTCTCCAGCACTCCGCTCCCACTTACTGCCTGGGGAGTGGGACTTCTGTGAAGGACATTTCAGCTGCTCAGTTGGGCCTAGGGTCAAAACATAGCAATACTCGGAGAAGACAACAAAAATTCATGCTGCAAGCACTTTCCCTTTTCCCTTTCCCCCTAGACACAGGGCACAAGCTTTCTCTTGGATGGCAGACGATGTTTAGATCCTTTTTGTTTTACTTTATTGTGAAAGTTTGTTTCAAGCATTTCTTGATATCCTGCTACATACTATTTTTATGACTCAGTCAAAATGCATACAAAGAAATGTTTTTATGAAGTGCTCACTTCCATTTTACTTTGCATTTAAATCAAATTGAACACTTCAGTGGAATAAATTCTGTGGACAATGTCACTTTGGCATCTTTCATTTCACTGAAGGATTGCACATTCTCAATGCTTCCATAATTGCAGGTTTTGTTCATTTTTTTACATAGTTTTTGTAATCCAAAGAATATTTTGCTAGATTTGCACAGATCTCCAATTGAATTTGAAATGAAGAAATAATTCAAAAGGAATTTGAATAGCACTTAAACAAGCATATAGCTGTAAGTAACCCCATCACCACAGATGATCCTTTTTCTAGGAATGTATTTGGATTAGATTTGACAACTACATTTTCACATTCTTATGTTTAAGTTTAAAAAACAAAAAAGGCTGTCTACTTTTCAATAGTTAAAAATACTTGTTTTTCTTTTTTCTTTTTATCTTCTCTTTTTATTTTATTTTTTTACTTAAAGCCTCTATTGTTTGTAGAACCCTCTTAGAAGCTTGGAAATAAAATGTCTTTCCCGACTAGTGGAGTCTTCTTTCATTTGGAACATATTACCTTAAAAGCAGTCTGAAGTTATATATGGTCCTTCTTCACATTGATATAAAGTAATCATTGCTGTATGGCATTGATTCAGCTGAACGCTGCTCTGTTCTCGTCCTTGCCTAGTGGGTATTGTTTACATTCAGCATTCATGCATTCATTCATCAAAACCTTATTTTGTGGCCCCTGTAGTGTCACCTAAGGATGCAGAATGAGTGGTGTTACCTTCCTTGCAACGCTTTTGTCTTCTCAATCCCATTCCGATATGTCCATTCCATTGTCTTGTTATCGCCAATTTACCTCCATGCCCACCCACCTCTCCAGATGATGCAACGGGATATTTCCTCCCCCTCAGGATTGAGGGAACAAAGTAAAAAAAAAAAAAAAAAGAAGAGATGGTGAGATATTGACCATGAATGGAGGGTAAGCCAATTGCAGCAGTTCTGGACTGATCTTATGTTTAGCTAAGTTGTACTGTATAGGCCAGTGTTCCTGGGGATGATGGGGAAGGTAAGGGAGCAGATTATCTGCATCACGTGGAGAAATGTATTAAAAATACACAGTCATGGTGCTCAAAGAGTATCACTCTATACTCAGGTAGGACCTGGTCAGGGGTATTTGCAATTGCTCCTGGGCAATTGTGTGGCATCCTTCTGTTCTTTTTGAGAGCCTTTGTGGGACAAATCTGGGGGTGGGTGGGGAGGGCATTGGCATCTCTGAGCAGAAAAGGAGCCAAATGTGTATGGCAGGCAGCATGGAGGGCAGATTAGGAGCATCTAAACCTAAGAGGCACACCGGGAGGGTTTTTATGAAAGTCAACATGAGGTATAAATGAGGGCCCAAAATAACTCAGTAATTTGGGGATGGAAAAGAGACAAGGATATTCTGCTCCTGCACAGCCGTCTGCTGGTCAAGGCCATTGTGTCAGTCCTGGAAGACTGAAACAGCCTCCCGGCCATTCTCTGCCTCCCAATCTCTTCTCCACAAAGAAGCCAGGTGTATTAACACACAACTCAGATCACATGACTCCGCAACTGAAACCTCTTCGCTGGCTTACTGAAGTCTTGGAATAAATTCTGGCATCCTTCCTTTGTTGCTTTACATGACCAGGGCTCTGCAAACCTCTACAACTTCGTCTTACTCCATTGTGTTTTCAGTGCACTGTGCTCCAGCCACACTGGCCATCTGTCATTCCTCATGTGGACAAAACATGCCCCCTTTTCCAAAAAGTAATTCAGCCTTTGTACTGATTACAACTCTTTAAACGTATTTTGCTTACTGGCTTTTCTGGCTTCTATGAATCTGACTTCCCCACCAGAATGTGAGCTCCCAGAGGGCAGGGATCTCGTTTTCTCGTATGCCCCATTCTTTACGGTGTCCTGAAGCATAATAGGTGCACAGTCAACACTTCCTGAATGAAGGCTGGCATAACAATACAGCAGATTTTTCAGGATTTGATGAATGATTAGAGAATGCCAATGTGATTTTAAGCTTCGTCCCCTGAGATCTTGAGTGGCTTGTGATCTTGGGACCTGGGGCTATGAATCCAAAAGGAGAAGTGGGTTCGGGGGAAAGAAGTTGAATTAAGTTTGTGTTGGACTTGTAAATTGGAAGTGTTTGTGGAACTGTCAACTAGGTAACAGGAATTGGGGTTTGCAGCTAGCTCACTACACAAGTAGGGCTGGGCATGCTGAGGAAGGGTCAGATGGTAGGTGAAGTCTCAGGAGTGTCTGTGTTTTCTTCTAACTGGGCTTCAGTGCTGTCTTCTAGCTTTAAAGGAGTAGTTCGTTAATGGTGAAGTAAGTCCCTCTGGTGTTGGAAAGTAATGCTGACTTTAGTTTTACTAATCAGGATAATTAGGAAACATAAACCTTAGCCTTGTACATCAAGTGCTTTGAAAACTAAGAATGGATTATTAATTAATTCACCAATTCTTTCTTTGTCAGGGAGGCTTTTTTGAGTTCACACTGTGTGGGAGAGCACGTACTAGATATGAAACGCTGATCTCAAGTCTATGAGAAGGCAAACATGCTACAATCTCCAAGTCATGTGGAAGGAAATGGTAGACCAGAGAGGCTAAGCACCCCTCTGAGGCACACACAGGAAGTGATTGTCAAAGCTGAGTGGGAATAGGTCCCATTTCTCCCCCCCTTGCTCGAGGGATTTTTCCTTTAAACTTTGGTTAAAGAGCCAGTGATGATGTTGCTCATAATCGGCTATTCAGCAGCCACCCTGGCCAGAAACAACTTGGGAGGGATGTGCTCCAGCCTGTCTGGGTTTGGTTTCTTACTTTGACTGGCCAGTCACCACAGAACTGAACAAAAGGATCCGGTCAGGCCTCTGAATGCCCAGACTGCCCCCCAAGTCCAATGCAATACACGGGACACCGTTATGAATAGTTTCTACTGGGGTTTGCATCTTTCTACAATATAAATGTTGAAAATCGAATATAAAAGAGCCTGGTTGGGCATTTTATAGTTGTATTAGGCTTCACAGAAAATACTGGCATTTCATCCTCTTCATGGGATTAAAATTGCAGTTAAACGGAAAAAAAATCAAGGGTCAGGATTGGGAGCCTCTGTCAGGTCCCAATGGTCCCTGGGGGGGAAAAATTGTGTTTTCCTCTTGTAGACAAACTCTTCCAATGATTTTTCATTTTTGTATGATCAGAGGCTTCCAACTTCTTAAAAGGGCCTTCTTTATTCCAGTTATTTTTATATATTTTAAAGATGATTTTATAGTTCTTTGTCACTTTAATCAACTTGGTCATTAATTATTCCTCTTTCAAGGCTCATAGAAGCACCTCTCTAGTCTCTCCCTCTGAGACTATAGAACATGGCTCACCACGTGGTAGTTTAGTTTAGGTGGGAAACTGACAATTTCCTACCATTAAAAAAAAAAGAAAAACAAACCAATAACAAAAAAATAAGACAGTCTGATCAATGAATTCACTTACGTTATGTAGCATTAATATTGGCAAAGCAACAGGTAAAATAGCTTTTCAATGTTTTATTAGGAGATAATAAAATTCACAGGATTATGAATTATATTTAATCGGATAGAAACTGTGTATCCGCTGGTATTTAAAATTTGGATGGGCTTGTCAAGAACTGCACAAACTGACATTTCAAATATAAGAATGTCAATTTCATATATTGTTTCTCATTTGTTGAAACTATGGAGCTCCTTTTTTACAGACATAATTCTCTGAAAATATTTAGATTTGAAGACATGTAATTTCATTAGAATACCTTTTTTTCATAACGACTTTGATGAGTGTAATTTAGCCACAATTTTTACTTCATTTAGCACTCAGGAAATTGGAAATTATTTTATGCTATGGTAAATTTCTCCCTCTTCTTTCTTTTTTTTTTCAAACACTAACTGGGATGTGAAAGAAA